TCGTCTTTGGCTTTTCTCCTTAAATCGCGCCTTAGCCTCAAAGACTCCCGTTTCCCAGTAAAGTCAGGACACTGCATAAAGCTGGCAAACCTGAAAATAATCTCTCCCAGCAACTACCTTCCAGTAATCTGTCTGGAGGCTTCTGCCAGCTGAGGGCGGGAGATGTCTCTGGAGTCAGCTTTGTAATTGAAGCAGACTTTCTCCCAGCAAGGGTGGATGAAGGCATAGAAAACGTGTGTGGTGGTTTCGTTGTGGGTTGGGGGTTTGTTTGGGGGGGAATTTTTTGGTTGTTTTTGTTTGTTTTGTCATCTGTGTGTCTTAGTTCAGGTGTTTTTTCAAATTGACTAGCAAAGTTGGGAGTGGAATTTGCAAGCCAGCAGCCTGTATTCAAGTAAACAGAGTTGCTTACCGATTTTAGTATGTTAAACATGACTGTAAGGTACCTTTGGGGAGGACACAGTGTCTCTACCAGAGTATTACATCTTATAGGTTTTAATCATAAAATTAAGTTTGGAACAGCTTTATAAAATGTGTTACTAACCCTTCCACATTTCTTTATAGGATGTAACTGCTACTGAAGTAGAGATTTAAACATCTGATGACTACGAAAGCAAACTTTCCTGTGACAGCAGGATCTATAGTTGTCCCTTACGGGCATGTGATTGGAAATGAGAAGTGGAGAGGATCAGAGATAGCCCAAAGGCTACAAGGTAAGTACAAACAAATTGGAAGAAGAAAAACAATTCAGGCAAAGCATTCCCCTCTGTTACCCAGTATTGTTAAGATTGGCTGTAATATGTTTTACTCCGTGCCTGGCTGGTCCCATATTTATGGTACAGCCTACGGCAGGCTGAAAATTCCTATTTGTCTATCATGTATCTACCTTATCAGTTCTGTCATAGTGGCATAGTTGCTGAGCGCTGTAGAGAAGAAGCAGAATTATCTGCTTCTTGGGAACCACAGCAGTGGAGCTATTGGGAATATGCGCCTGCACTGAAGTCCCTTGAATTTATGTAGATACTGGGACTGTGCTATCATCTGTTGGCACAGCAAACTCGGCTAAGATGATTGTTTCAGAATAGTATGTGATGCTTTTGTTCAAGTCTACAGTTTACTGAGAAGCTATGGCACTTTGAAATCTGTGCTTTGAAAGTGCTATTAATTGGCATTCCTAAAGGCATCACACAGTACTTTGGATTGATTGTACCAGTTTTGCTTAAAGAGAAGAAAGGCTTTTAAAAAATACGAAGTTCATTGTCAAGTTGTCTGAAATACTGAATTTGTTACCTGGTGTGCAATAGCCAATCTCACATGCCAGGATAAGACGTTGATTATTTATTTCAGTTGCGCACAGCTGAGTGCTCGGTGGTTTCCCACAAATCAAGCACACCAGACAACACTCTCCATGCACTTTATATACACGTTTTACATCATAATTATCATATTAGTACCCCCTATCTATATTTGATCGGTTAGTAATTTACACATGATTACACAATCAAGTTATAGCTACTATGCGTACTCATGGGAAGGCTTTTCACCTGGGCTAGGGTTGTCTTGACCTATGGGTGTGATTTTTAGTATTATGATAAAGGTAGCTCATCTTAGGACACTCAGAATTTTCACTTTTCTGCCAAGTTGGCAAAAGTTGGTGTAGATTAGTAGCATTTTCAAGGTCTGTAAGCCCATCTGCTCCAGGATGTTTATCTTCAAGAACGATAACAATACTTGCTTTCTTTGATTAGGAGTTATTTCTCTGTTTCATCCTTGATGGATTCAAGGATAGAATCCTCCTCATACATGAGAATGTACCCATGACCTCTCAACACTAATTACTATTGACTATTTCAAGAACATGCTTTGATATCAAAGTTACTAGGATTACTGACACATTAGGAAGTTTGTGCTATGAAGTAATTATTAGTTTGTTGTGGTTTTTTAACTACTGTGGTTTTTTCACTTTAACAATCTCACCTTAAGGAAAAATTAGACTCATCTTTGACGATGGCTTGGGACTTGTGGATTTTCATCTTTCAAACAGAACTTGCATTTTATATATTTCTGAAGCAGATTTGGTTGCAGGGGATGAATTCAAACGAAGATTGGTTCGGTTTCGAAATGTAAGTAAGTACTACGTAAAGAGAAAAGGAAAAGTTTTCACTTGGTATTTGTTTATTTTATGCTTCTGAAGGCGTTCTTCTTGTGTTATTTTTAAATTCTAGTGGAGCTAAACTTTTGTGATAATTTCCACCTGAAAACTGAAAAAGTTATGCAGCCCTGCATGTAATAACTGTTTTAAACCTCTGTACTGTTGCTGCAACTTATGTTCTTCCTCTGATTTACTTTCACTCAGCTCATACTTGACAGGTTTGCGCTCTGTTGCCTTGCATCAGCTTGTCATTAACAGGTCTTTTCTTCTTTTTCCCTTTCAATACAGGCCAGCAGTCTTGGGGGAATTGTAATTGTGGAGAAAACACAAATAAGTGATCAGTACTTCTTAGCAGTACAAAAGCTTGTTGTGCTGGAACTGGGAATGGTGTTGCTTCCTGTGGCAAATCAAGGAGAAGCTTCTCAACTTATTACTCAGCTAGTAAGTTCCATGTGTTAGTGGACAAACATTTATTAAAATGTGGGACATAAGGAGCATTACCTGTTTTCCCACAATCATCACTCATCTCAGAAAGAATACCTGGGATCTTAAAGGAACACAATGTATTTTTTTGTTTGAACGTAAGGAATAGATATACTGCAACAGTAATAGGGTAGTGTAGTTCAGCAGAAAGAGGGCTCATTTGGGAACAAATTCTAAAAGTTGAAGAATGTGATACTGGATTTTTTTTTTTAATGCAATCTTGCACTGAGTTGCCACTTGGATAGCATTAGATAATCTTCACTTAAGTGCTCTGTCAAAACCGACTGGAGATTTTGCTTTGTCTCAGGCTGGGGAAACTGTTCTTATGTTGATTCTCATTTCCTTTATCCTTTCTCTGATTACATCAAAGAGATGACAGAATCATTGTTTTAATTCTTGGTTGGTATTAAGCAACTGTTGGTTTCCCAGTGAGACTTTGTGGATCTGCATCAAAACCCTTAATAAGGGTGCACACTTAAGAGAGCTGTTTTTTTTAAACTTCCTAGTGATTGAATTGAACTCTTGAGATGAGAGGCTGTTTTAAAAACCAAAAGCAGAGCTCCAGCAGAGGGCACTCAGTGTCACTTATGGTTTTGTTTTGCTTCAGGTCCGTGAACAAAGCAAGGATCACAACAGTAACCCCTTTCTTGGTAAACGGTGTTCTCAGCTGGCAGAGCCATCAGTGTTTCGAACCGTGCTACAAATTCCAGGAGTTGGGAAAACAAAAGCTCTGCTTTTACTACAACAGTTTGGAAGCATCCACCAGCTTTGTAATGCATCTGTCAAAGAGCTCGAACTAGTAGTTGGACAAACGGTAGCACAACAAATTTACACTTTTTTATGCTCATGACATGCATGTGTAATGCTGCTTTGGAAAACAAAGATTCTTTGTTTCTTGTGAATTATAAAATTTTGGTTTTAATAATCACATATTATGGTAATTTCTATAATCCTGGTATCAACTGGAGGGTGTTGACTAATTGTCTAGATATTACTCTGTTGCTGCTTCTTTACAGCTGGTCTGCTCATGTGGATTGAGCTGTGAAAATTACCTTGGAAAGATGGCTGTAAAGTGTTGTGCATCTGTCATACAAAAAAACAGGAGAAAGCTGTTGTGGTGTGTGTGGGTTGTTTTTTTTTTTGCATCCACAGAGAGAGAGAAAGAAGAAAAAAAACCACACACACACACAAAAAAAAAACAACCAGAAAAGCCATTTGCTTGCTTACTTTTGTCTTCCAGAAACAAACACTTTGTTAATACATGAGTGGTCTTCTCAGTAACTGGAAATGTGAGTTACAGTGCTTTAAAAAAGTGAGCATACGTTGCTTTATAGTAATAGCTTTCACTGTAACTGTTTGGAGTTCTTTTGGAACGTCCTGCTGGAAAACATCTTTGCCTTTACACTAACTTATTTCTCCGGTTCTGTTTTCAGTTCACAGGGTGTTATCAAATTTATTCCTTTGTGTCTAATATCCAAAATCTTGGTTAACTCATGTTGCTCTTGAATATAGGTTGGGATAATTATAATAAATTACAATATATTTTGACATATTATCGATTACAATGTATTAATTCTAACACCAATTATAATATACACTACAAAGGAAAACAATATGGCAAATTTTGATGGAAATTAATAATTCATCCTGTTCTTCCAGTATTAACTTCTTCAGAAGTTAGTTGTAAAGAGGATTGGTTTTCCTGGCATTTTGCATTTTATTTTAAAATATATTCTTATCCTGTTTAGTAAGGGTAATATTGCCTTTTGCCTTATGTACCCATTAAGGAGGTGTGTGAAAAGCTTCTTTCATACTACTTGGGGTTTGGATCACAGCAGGAAGGCAGTTGAGCAGGATTTTCAGCTCCCTTTTGTAAACTAAAGAGAAGTGAATAATAGAACCTCGGCACCTCAGTAACCAATCTCATCCACTGGCTGGTGTGGACTTCAAATGGCTATCTGCTTAGTGCATTAAATAAAGTTCAATTAAAGTAGTAAGAATTAGTACTAATGGAGCTATAGGCTGAACTACTAATCTATTGCAAGCTCTTCTTTTTAGGGCTTTATAGTAAGTAGCCTTATTTATCCTTGTGGATAGAAACTTGTTACAAATATTCCTGTGGTCTGAGCAAGAATGTAACTTGCTGTGAAATTAGTATTTTCCTTAAGTTAGCTGTTGGTTCCTACTTGGCATAGAATAAGTCTTTAGTTAGCCGAGAGAAAATAGTAAGTATGTATTTGCATGGCACTTGAGAAGCCCAAATTTTGAATTGAATTGAGGAGGGGTGTGGTTAAATAAAAAAAGACACCCACCACAACCTCTCCTCAAGGACCTGTGAGTGTGATGATGGGAATGGAAAGGCAGTTAATCATGCAGCTAAGGGGGAATATACTTGCAGGGAGACTATCATAGTGGGCTAAGAGAAATGAAGAGCAATTATATGTGACTTAGCTAAAGATTTCATTAGCTGGATAGTAATTTTAGCCATACATACAAAGGAAATCTTTTGTGTGGAATATTGTACGGCAGGGTCTTGTGTATCAGTATATGACTGCTGCCACTTGTGCGTGTAAAAAGTGCTACTACAAGTACATATGAAGAATAACTACTAAGGATAGGTGAGTCACAAGTAATTTACAACATTTTTAATGTACCCTTTATAGGGAAACTAGAAATACGTTAATGCTCTTTGTAAGGAAGCTAGTTTTACACCATAATTTATAAGTTCTGTGTTATACAATATAAACTTCTAAGAAACTGTCTGTCTTAAATCTTTGTAAGCAATGTTACAGAAACATGCAAGAGGTATGCCAGGAGTAAATAGTGAAAACCTGTAAATTATGCTGTATCATGCAAGCTGTAGCAGAATCAAAAAGCTACTACTAAATGGCAGCATCTGATTTTTATTCTTAAATAAGTGTCATCAACATATTTACACCTATTACATAAGAAACTAAAAATAAATGACAACTTTAAAGTTTACACCCAGAAGCAAACCTTCCCCTTAAGTTTTGAGTATCAAACAGCATATATCTACTCTGTAGATGGCAATGTTAACTAACACTACAGTGTTAGCAATTTTCAATTAATTTAAATTTCAGAAAATAGAAGAATCTCAAATAAATGCTCATGCAGTCATTTTTTTTCCTTCTTCCTTAATATATATATATATAGCTAATACTTGCTTATGAATTATTCCAATGGGAGGAGGATGATTTTATATCTATTTGGGTTTTTTTACTTGGTGTGATAGTAAATATTCTGCCACTTAAGACTCACAAGCACTTCTTTTCTCATATTTTAAAGTATTACTGCAATTTATCTACTCTTGATCAATATACTGGAATATGTCAGTTTTGAGATTTATTCCACAGCTATCAATTTTATCAAGACTAATGCGATAAAAGTCTTATGGTAAGTAGGTTAAATAATTTAAAGTTTGGAATAAAGCCTTTTTTTAACAATTGGATCAGCAGGCATTTTAAATGTAACCTAGATCAGAAAAAGAGCAGAGTGAAAGCCTTTTGTAATTCAAAAGATTGTGTGACTTCTAAGCCTTCTAATTCTTTTCCAGAATTAAATTAACTATTCAGTAGAATACACCTAGTACTCTCAGAAAGAGAATGTCTACGCATAAAAAACACAACTATAGGACAACTGCCCCTTAGCACAAGGCTAGTTTCTCTGAATAACATTAAGATAACTGTGGTTTGTTAAGGTAATTCTTTAGTGTTAAATGATTTATTATTGACTCTGAACTTTTAAAGCAAAATCATCCTTTAATGTGTCCCCTATTGTTTTGCATGCAGCATCAAGTTTGTAATAAATAACTCCCATCTATCATAGTTATAAAAGATTAGTCATACCGTCTTTTGAAATTCCCAAGGAATCCAGTCCTCATCTAAGCAATTTTATCATCTAAATCTTGTTATTGCATACCTCCCAAAAACTTCATTCTAACCTTCAAATACTTAAGCATTTTATAGTTTTTGCCAGCCTCTGACCTTCATAGTGGCTCAATACACAGTAAATGAAGTCAAAGGCATTTGTCTGAGTTTATACACACGTGACGTATATAAAGATAAAATTGATCAATATTTTTTACATACATTTTAAAGAAAAATGTCATGTTAACCAATCCTTCTGAAAGATTCAGTACAATGAACTTTCTGTATTCAGAAGTGTGAAGGGAGAAAGCTTCTTCTTAATCTGAGAACTTCCAGCCACGGCTGAAGGAAGGCAGAGGGTGCTTGCAGCTTTCTGTCTATTTTTAGTTCCCCAACTTAAAAAAGGCAGTTTCAGTGGGGCTTTCTTGGTCTGATCGATCTTATCCTCTTCCATTGCTAAACAGATTAAGGAGTACGTCTTCTGCATTCCCACAGAGTAAGTTGCACTCTTACTGTGCTGTAGGAAAAAGAGAAGCATTGTAAGAATCAGTCGCCCAAAATGGGTCAAAATTTGAAGATAACAAAAGATTGCTGTGCAAATAGTTTTCCAAGGCAGACTACAGCAAGCTTTCTGTGCTAATGGCATGGTAGCTAAACACAAGGCCCTTCAGAGCACTGTGATTCTGGTATTCTGCCCATGTAGACTCGAGGCTATACTATGCAGAGCATAAAGGGACTTGTGAATCTTTTCCATGGGTTGTGCTCTAGTTAGCATTGACTGGCTTCTAGCATAACTATACAATATATATGCTAACCTCTCTACAAAGCTTAAGTATGTGGTTCTTGCACAAATCTCAGAAGGGGAGTCTTTTTGCTGTCTTTGGACAGGCTCCATGTTGATTGCAACTATGACAACAAGAGCTACTGTAGGACATTCTTTTGGGATACCTGAAAGGCACAGCCTTGTCTGTCTTGTCTTAGCTGCATCCTGAAGCAGTTTCATTATATTCTAGCCTTCTGTTTCCAGCAGCAGCTTCGAATAGCAGGTGTGCAATTCCTTATTTTCAATAAGGAAAATCAACTTCTTAAAACAAGAAAACCTAACAGCAGTAAGAGCACCTCAATCACTTCTAAGGCAACAATACTTCAGCACCTAAGCTTACTAGGGAATGTTAGAAGCACGAAGCAGTGGATTTAGCTGAACTACACATTCTCTCACACTACAAATAAGTAAGTTATTTAAAGCTTAACATTTTTTTTTAATCTTGGGATCATTTTTTCTTAATCTAAAGCTTCTACTGCATCTTAGTAACTGACAAGACATAAAATAAAAAATGCGTACATCGATGTAAAAGTCATAATCATTTATGTTAATAATGCATAGAAAATAAGCATGTAGTCTTGGATGTTTGATTTCATTCCATTGTTGTTTCATTGTGGCTTTCCCAATGCTGAACAGGGTAATATTTTTGTTTTCTGGGATAAGTGAGGGAAAAATAAAATATACCCTGGAATTTATAATGCAATTAATCTAAGTAGCTCCAGTACAAAAAAACCCTACCACCCAACCATTCTTATGTGTACAGGCTGTACTTTAGCTTGCTAAGTCATAATGATTTAAACAGACTGCTTAAAACTGAACACTTGACTGAATGCTTTATATGGAGCGGGATATCTGACTACATGAAAGTAAACATTCATCAGGGACTGAAGCCAGGAAAGTGAAATAACCCTCACATATCCAATCTGCAAAACATATTTGCCTCATTACATACCATAGATGCCGCTGTATCCTGGCAACTGATAACCTCAATCTCAATGGGCTGCTCTCCCACGCTTTTGAATTTTTCCAGCACCTCATTCACTCCAAGCCACTTGCAGTCCACACCACCAACTGAAACAACGTAGTCACCTTCTTTTAGGCCCATCGACTGTCAAAAAAATTTGCACAGGTTATTATCTGGAATTATAAAGATGCGTAAAGTGTTTTGTCATCATATGATATCTGCCTGAGAGGCATTTCCCTCTTAGATGCTATAAAACCATTGTCTAGCCAGACATGTGGAACTAAAGTGTATTTGTAACACAGGAACATGTAATGTTTTCAAGTAAACAAACTGTTTGATTTACCATTGATAAACATGATTCTGGCATACTCAAATGTTGGCTGTTTTTATGTCCTTTTCACTTTTCTCCTTAAGTAAGTGAAACCTGTTTTTTGCTACCTTATCATCGCCCATGAGGTATTTTCTCCAGTTTTTACTTCTATTTCTTCTGTATTTTTATTTGTACTTCTGTAGTAGCTTCTGCCTTTCCTAGGGCTAAACTGTGCTGATCACTGCATGCTGCTTTATCCTTTTGGTTTTTTTCTCCCCAAAAGAACAACATATTAGAAGCTGATAAGTTCTTTCCCCTCTTTTTTCCTTGGGCACATGCTACCTTGCCTTCCCTTCCTGACCCTCCTCCTTATTGTTGTTGCTACTTTCTAAAGTTTTTATCCCTTCTAAGTTACTGAATGAGATGGGGAATAACATTTGCTTTTATTTTTCAGACTTTTTATCTATTTTGCTTTTATTTTTCAGACTTTTTGTCTATTAAGTGTGAACAGAGGAAGACATCAACTCTAGTTTAATGTAATGTCAGGGATTTGGATACTCTAACATCTAAGGTGTATATAGCACTGAAAATGCATTCAGATTATATAACTTGACTATACTGGTATATAGTAGAACTCAAATACTCCATACACCAGTATGAACAAGCTAAAGTTACATTTAAAAGATCGTAATGCTAGAATCTGGAGATAAATTGTTAATATTGCACCAATGTACTTACTGCTGCAGAACAAGCTGGATCAAGACAATAAATCTGTACTGGTGAACCTCCTTTAAGACTGAATCCTAGCTCTCCTGCTTCATGGTGGATATGAATGGTACGTGGAGCCGTCCATCTCTGCTTGGCTGAGAACACTGTCAGTGGGCCCTGAAGGTAACATAGCAGCAGGCACATTATGGTTTACTGTCATTCATAAATAAGCACTTCTATTTTTTTAAGTTACAATGCTTTAAGCTCATCTTATGCAGGTTTTACTCAGGTTAACTTCCAGCTGCTTCCATTGAAATGGAACAGTGAGAGTTATCCCAGAAGTTTAAGATGTCCCTTGAAATGCTCAGCCCTACTTCATGACTGTTCAGGAGACACTTCAAACAGAGTGGGATGAGAGCAACTGCCAAGTTGTTCTGAGATCTGTTAAGGCGTGCAGAATCTTTAGGCTGCAGCAGGCTCTAAAGTCCTATATTACTCCATTTTGGAGGAGATAAATTGATTCATGAAACACTGCATATTCCGATCCTAACTGCAACTCCCAATTCCCTTTGCCCACCGATACGCGCAGAGCCACCTGAAAGACTGGCTTTGTAGCATGCAACACTACGCATTCCGCATGCCCATCTCCAAGTATTACATGTTTCTCCCCACCTCTAAGCTGTATGCAGTTATCCATTGAAACTTCATGGGACTTTTATGAAGATTATCAAGCATGAATGTTGTGCAAAGCCGTATACAAATGGCAATTTTATTTTTGCTAGTCTCAAGTTGACTTATACCTCTGAAGCTAGGAGTGATCTCTCCAGTAACTGCTGGAAAAAAACAGTTACTACAGGATCATTTTTGTCAGGCTGAAATACTTGTGCCCCTTCCCTCAAGTAAGAGTGAATTTATATTTGCTAGCAAAATGAACAGCGGTTGGTCAGCATCAGCATGTTACGTACCAGCCTGTGAAAGAAGTCTTTAACTTTCACCTTGGAAAACTGGGGAGCAATTGTTTCTATTTTATGCTCTGTTTTAGCTAAAACAAAAAGAAAAACAAATAATTTTTCTCTCAAGTATTCGTTAAAAGACATACACATTTATTTTTTTCGCATTCCAAGCTAGACACACAAATGTATTTTTCTTGCGTTCCAAGCTAGACAGAAATTTCTCCTAAATTCTTTCCAGGCTGTAGAAATACTCATTATTGTGGAAATTTTTAAGACACATCTGAATAGCCTTAAAAATATCTTCAGAGCTCATAGTATCAATACAGAAAACTTAAAACAATCCATCCAAAGAAAACTAGGCTATTCTCCTCTTTAATTTGTTTTTCTTTGAGAAATACTTGAAATCAGTGCTCTCCCACTCTCTCCCACTGCTTCCAAAGAGGAAAGAGTTGGATGTGCTGGACTAAGGTAGGAAGAACCAATCCTCATCAAATTGAGTTAACCACTGAGACCAGTTTAAGAGTTGTGCTACAAGAAACAGTTACTAGTTTTCCCCCATATGATTTTAGCTTTTAAAGTTTCCCCATTTTTTCTAGTTCACAAGATAAGTCACAAAACCAAGCTGAATTCTAAATAATAAGCATTGTTATCTACCCCAGAAAATGATGCGGTCAGAAACATAAACACTGTAAAGCAGCTGTAACAAAATTCATTTATCTGTGATTGAGGAAACATGTAAGGAATCTGAACTCAAATGTACAGTATGTAACTTGTACATTATTTATATTAGGTATGGATGCATATTATATATGTATACATATATATAAAATAAAGGCATATCCCCATGAAAGCATATGCATGTATGGTTAGATACTGTTTATTTTTAGCTGTGTATACTTACGAAGGATATCTGGAGCCTGGATTAGACTGAGAAAGTCATCTTCCGTCTCTTGCTGAGCGTATTTGAGAAGCGAGCGCTTATGTGCAGCTGTCAGAACCTCCTGAAGAACATCAATGTTTCGAAGCTTTTTGCACAGACCACAGACTCTTAGAGCTTCTTCATGATAACCTATGGCTTTGCGTAAATGTGCTTTCCCTGAAAAAAAAAAAATAAACTGTTGGTCGTCTTCCACAGGCAATAAATACAAGGTAATTTTCAAATTGTGTCTTGTAGCTGGGTAAAACTGGCAGTTACCTAATTGTTTTCTCTGAACTTTGTCCTTTAGAACAGTGAGAACCATCAGTCCTTCAGGCATGTGGTTATACAACTGGGACAAGGCTTTCTCCTGCTGATCTTCATCATCACCGGACTGCACTATAATAATTGATGCAGAACATTAACCGTTAGACATCTCTTGGTGCCCTGTTCCTTTAGGTCTACTCTTGTGTATTTATTACTTCCTTCTCTCCAAATGCAGTCAAATATTTTTACACATATATATCAATAGGAATTTCAAGTTTTTAGGACTTTTATCAGTTTTATCATCTGCAGTATGCAAGTAATACTTATATGCCAGAACATATAGACACGAATCGAACAATTTAGTAGCATATAATAGATACAAAATTTCTTTTGTTTCTTCAAAAGTTAGTTTACTGAACTTTCACATTCTTCTGTAAAGGACAAAAAAGCATGGCCTCGTATCTGAATGGGAAAATGGCGACAAATTAACATATATTGAACCCCAAATTTCCTAGCTCCTAGTCGTAGACCAAATTATAACTGTTTATGTGTTTGTTATTGTTATTTATATGAATATATAGAAAATGTATGATTCTTACATTCATGGTCACAAAGAATGGTGGCAATGAAGTAATGCGCCAGAGCTTTGTAATGGTCTGACTTTATTTGTGCCAGTTTAGACCAGGAATAGGGGATATTCTCTTTCACTGGTTCCTGATTCATTGCAGTGTTAACCAGCATGTAAACCTCTCCCACCTAAAATAAAGCACAGAATTGAAGTATGAGAATTTAACATTAGTTATTAGGAGCTCAAGTTAGAGAGATTATATTCGGCCTTTAAGATAATTTCATGTGTATCACATCAAAGGGCGGGGAGAGGGGGAGATGGTTAGAAAGGTTTGGAAATAAGTTTTGAGAAAATTTGAAATTTCATCTCTGATCTTTCCCATATAAGAAAAGTAAAGAAATTTTTTACAAGAACAGATGGACTAAGTCAGTCAATCTATATAGCTTCAGAGTTCAATAAAAACACCATATGATAAACAGTTTTTAATTTACAAATACATCTCATTGAGTTAATGCAGCTGAGACAAAGGGTGAAGCATATTACTTATACAGTAGGTTTGTGCTTCACTTCCGAAACTGTGGAGTCATATCCAGCCTTAAGTTTGTGTGGTCTATTTAAAACTGGGCTACTATCCTGTATGCAGAGGAAATAAAATAGCTTTTCAAGTAGTGAATGCTGCTTTAATGGATCAAACTACTCCACCTGACAGAGTCCAAAAATCTTTCCCCTGCAGCTGATGAATCCTACAGATAAGTCAGTGTGGCTTTATAGGATTGGCAGGAAAGGCTTTGCCCATTTATTCAGTATGGAACCAATTCTAGATCTGCTACTCTGAAATAGCTCAGAAAGCATATTCGTATCATCTTGGCATACCCAATTTTTGATGTCAACAACCTCAATCAGGTACAAACGCTACCTTCTGGGGCACAGCCTGCCTCCCCATTTTTCAGGCAAGTCCCAAGATAGCTCTGCAGCTACCAGTCCGACTCTGCTCATCAGACTCCTTCCCCCAGTTACAATTTAGTTATTCTTTTGGACTTAAGCTTTTTAGGTTCGCATAACCTCCAGCTGCTGGGAAGTAATAGACAGGCTGTGTTCAATACTTGACCAAGAGCTACACAAACAAACCCGTCCTGTTGTATGCTGTTCTGTGAAAAAGATTGGTACTGTTTGAAACAGCAATATGATCAATAGCTTGTAAAAAACCTTTGGCAAGTTCACTGCCCAAGTGTTACAGCATGTTTCTATTAAATCTTAGGAATTAAAAAAAAAATCATTACAGTTCTAAACTATTGATATTTAAATTGCAGCTACTTGCGTTTTAATCTTCTGAAAGGTGGTGATTCTCATTGTAGCTTGTGAGCTGTCCCTCGTTACTTTTGGTTTTCAGTAACAGTTGTTAACATTTAGGTTTAATAAATTCCCTTAGCGTTACTAGAAGCTGTAACTAGTAACATAGCAGTGTAAACAGTTATTTTAAAGACTAAAGTTTAAGTATCATATTTTACCTTGGCAACTTCCTGTGTCATTTTCACTAGTGTGAAAAACTCATTGCGTATTCCAGGAAGACCAATCTGCTCAAAAACACACTCTTGGGCTTGTGCAAGCATCATTTTTACTAGTACATTCAGCATAGCCGGGCTCATATCATAACTTGGTGTGTGAGTAAAGGTCTCCTTTAAGTAGCCTAGGACTCCTGAAATTACAAAATGGTTTTATCAGCATTACGAAGAGAGAACTAGGTGAACTTAATTCTAACATGTGCCATAATAATTTAGACCGAAAGCATACTTTCTAGTATTGCACTACAGCAATCTGAAAGGATTCTTAGTGCATGTGAAATTAAACTAACTTACAGGTTTTGCTTTTGCATTCCCATCAAAACATCTCCAGGCACAATTCTCAAAATTACAATTCAGAGGAGCAACAGAAGCTGCAAGTTTTGAGGGCAATACCTTCGGATTTGCTTATAATGGTTCTTGTGCTTGACCATAAAGTTGTGCTGAACTGAATGTGACTTGTATACGGGAGCGGTAGGCTAGGGCTTATACATAGGACAAAAAAAGAAAAAGAAATCTACGCAGCTCTAAGAGGTGACAGTAGAACCCTTGGGTGGAAGGAAAAAACACGAACATATAAACGTCATTAATTATGAATCTCCTTTTCAGATGCTGCTAAATGCAGTTTGTGTCCCAATGGAAGCTCAGTTCGATCCCTGTAAGTAAACTAGAACAGTATATTTAATAGGGTAAAATTAGATTCTGCTCTAGTCATTTGGTTCCACCAACATATTAATCATTTCTATCCTTTATCAAAATAAAAACAAACACTAACTGTAGTGTAAATATTAAGTAACAGTTTCACGGATGGAAGCGTAACCTTCAGCATGCACGTCATCCAACTGGTTTAGTGAGTTCCAGTAGCCTGCTAACTGCTGATAATACTACAAAAGTATAACGTTAAGACCTCTGCTTTTTAAGTGTCCCAGCTTCTGTAATCCTACTTCTTGCCACTACGTTTGGTTCTGGACATGTTGTGCTGTATTTTCCTACTAACAGTTTCTGAGATATTTCATTTTCTGTGTTACCCTTGTGTCTTTTAACTTACTAATATGCCCTTACACAAATTTGAATTATGGCCATCTCTGCCTTTTTGCACCAAAAACCCCAAGCCCAAACTTGCCAGGCACATCCCAAATACTGATGGAGAGCCCTACTGAAAGGAACTGAAAGTACGGAGAAGGTGGGGGGAATTCTTTTTTTTTTTTTCCATTCTCAACATATTCCTGCTTATGCAGTAAGGATATACACACCGAGAGCTTTGTTGAGGATAAACTCTGCAACATTATTCATTGAGCACAGAGAATCGGTTAATACATGCTCTATATCGTGTCTCTAGCAACGTAATGAACAGTGTTACGGAGCCATGCACAGGTACAATGAAATGCCTCCTGAGCACGTTGCCTTGGGGCCCTGCAAAGGTACTGTGGTAGCAAATGATGCATTTCAATGTGTGAATTAATTCTGTTCTGCAAATACATTGAAGTGAAAAGCAGTAATTTTTTTATTTGCAAAATTGAAGGAGCAGCAGCAAAATGGAGAAATTTCTCAAGTACTGGGTTTTTTTAGATTAAATACAAAGGTTGAAAAAAATTATTTAGTAAATGCATGAGAAAATATGATCAAATTTTTTTGATAGCTTTGTATTCAAAGGAGGGGTTTTATGACAACCCAACACTGTGGTCCATCGTTTGTAGCTGATAAAGCTACCCATACAGCAGAAACCAATAACTACACATTGTTAGTGCAGAAATAAACCTTACAATACATATTAATTATATAGATCATGTTTTTAAGCATTTTGTGTAGCACAGATGACATTTACAAAACATTAGAAAATCTACTTGGAAAAAAAAAACCCACAAAAGCTTCTATAACATGTTAGTTCAAGGGATATGATTCCCTTTATTAGAATTATTTTTTCTTCTCTTGGGACAGAGATTGATTGAGTATTTTTAATCTGTTTGCCTTTGGAATCTATGGAAAATATGCAGTGAACTTCCAATGAATTGCAAATTTCACCAGAAAACACAGTAAGATTAATTTTGAAGAGACCCCATGGGAAACTAGCCCTTTAAATTGTTTCTTGTACAGATCCTACACCAATGTAATATCACTGAGGTAAAAGCAGCTACATTAGTGAAACAAAGAATGAACAATGAAGCAGATAACGTTGGGGCTATTACTCAGACCTTTGAACTGAGGCTGAGGCTCGTTAATCCTTAACCACAGCATTCACTGTCTTTATCTGTGTGTTCAGACTATAGTTCCAGGTTTTGAATTAAAGCTTCATCTCAGCTCTTCACTAGACTTCTTGAATTTCCCTATTCCTCCTTTTTCTGTGTAATAAAGTCAGTGGAAAATGCAGAAATCTGCGGGATGTCAGAATGAGATTTGGAACATTTGCATAAAGACCTTGCCCATATTTTTAAATTTGTACCTGCAGCTCTCTGAAAAGCATCAACAGCATTTTCAAGTCCAGCCTGGGTCTGACGATTGCATCTTGTTCCAATCTGGGTGTAGAGGGCTCCAATGTTGAATAAAATACTGGCTTTTTCAAGCAACAGATTCTGCTGACACACTGGGACACCTGTGAAGGAATCATACCTTGTGGAACAAAAATTAGGAGTGTAAAAGATTAGCAGAGCCCATTGAAATGACAGATTTTTTTTCAATGTGTTTTTCCAAAAGAGCAGTGGAATTCTTAATAACTGTTCTGCTACAGTGAAAATGAAGGTGAATAGAAATACCATTATGTACTGCGAGGAAAATCTAAGTGCTGCAAGCCGGAGAACGGCTTTATTTGAGGCTTAGTTTTCAGCAGGTTTTCAGCAGTGCCTCCCTGAGCATAGTATATCCAATTCAAAAGTGCCTATAAAACCTCACAGAGGCTGAGAGTACACTGGGGAAGTATCCATATGTGCTGCTATGTTCTTGTACTTAGATGTTGCCAAAGACCAACTATTAGCATGGTCAGATCCTCTATGGCTTGTATTTCAAAGTTATGACTAGAAATTTAACAGTTCCTCTTGACTGCATGGTAGTCATCTTTTTCCATCATAAAAATTCTGAATTCAGAGTCAAACTTTGCTCATAGATGTAATAAACTCTCCACTATAATAAATTAAGTCAGTCACTCCTCCTCTCTTCTGGCCCAAATTGTCATCTTAACAAATTGAAGGAGGTGAATTAAGGTCTGACCCGTTTCCCATCTGCTTCTTGCACCAAGGTTCAGAGTCCAGGAAACATCTGCAGGTATCCAAAATAAAGATTATTTTCTCTCTTTTTCCCTTGTGCTAACTTGTAGCCCAAATAATAATCTAGCCAATGGCTTCACTCTAAGCATGAAAAGTGTGTATTGTATTCCCGTTTACTCTTAACACTAAAAAAACCCCATTAACAACACACTGCAGGGAGTAGGGGGGAGAAACACACCGACATGCTCAATTTAAACAGAAGGCAGTTAATGATTAACAGTGTTCTTAAAAAAAAAAAAAAAAAAAAAAAAAAAAAAGCAAAAACCAAAAGACAAACATGAACTATACACTTACCATGTAAATAAAACTCCCATGTGCCTGGTGGGTGGGAAAAATCTGTTTTCTACATAACCAAGTTGAAGGAAATAGCTTATCAACATCTCAATGCCAGCTTCATCTCGGCTAGGAGTGCGGCACGCCTTAAAACACAATAGATTAAAATTAAGTGTGTTCTGCTGAGTTACAGGATGAATACTGAAACAGCAAGGATAAAGCTCTGCTTCCTTTGGACTTCTGTATATCACAGAAACGTGTGGAATCTGAAAATGGTAAGCTTAAGGCCATATGGATGCATTCCAAATAAGAGGTTTTCAGCTGCACAGAAGTAACACATAACCTTTAAGGAAGCAAAGAGGATCCATTTGGCAAGTCTCACAGCTAATTAAATAAAAATTGTGGGTATTTTATGAAAGCCACAAAGAAAGTTTATGTTCCTAGTATAATACAGAAAACAATAGTTAGAAATAATCATCATTCTACTACAATACTTTGCCAGATGATTTAACTTCAACACTCATCCTGCTAAACTTAAAATACTCTAAATAAGAAAAGTAGGTAAGACAAATCTTGGATTTGCAAAGTTGTGTCAACAGCTCAATCACTTCGCATAACTTCATCCTTTTCTTCACTTGTTCTTTACTCAGATTGTAAAGCTTTTGGACAATGGAGATTCATGTTCCATATCTCAGAAATTAAGTCAGTTAGAATATGGTAAGTTATGAGTAATAGCATAATATTCCATAAAAACATTATTTACAACTGTAGATTAAAAGACCTCATGGTCTTTGAACTTGAACTTACTTGTCTCAGATCCATGAGATCTGCTATTTCGTCTTCATACTCAGAACTGTCTTCACTATAATGTTCCAGAATAAAGTCCTGAAAAAAAAAAAGGTAAAAAATTGGAATATATAAAATTAACCTAAACTATTCTTTTTTTTCCCTGCAATTGCAAACAGTACAAAATTGATTCATTTGTGATTTACATGGTGTTTACTCCCTTCCAGTCAATAGTACAGTAACATATAGCAATGAGACTACAAAAAGACAACAGAACTAATAATTTGATTTTATATCCAAGACAAGAAATTTCAGTCTGGTGCAAAGGAACCAAACACCTATTACATCAACTCCATTGGGTTTTAAAACAACAACGCTTAGTGGATTTGAAAGGGACAAATGAACCCCGTTAGCTAAAATAACATGGGAATCAAGTGACCGTAAAAACTTGTTAACAAAAAGAGACTGCCAAATTCTTGTCAGTTATATTAGGGCAATTCCACTTAAATTGACAAAGCTGCAATGGCATAAAGTGGTACCATAGTCTGACCATGGAGATTAACCTACAGAAGTAAAAGCAGAAACAAATGCTACAGTGATATGGTGGTTTACCATGAGATAAAATCAACATGGCAAGATACACAGGAGTCCAAAAAATACAGGTGGTGGCTCAAATAGCCAGCAAAGTATATTAGCCAACAAACAGTGTTAACGCTGCAACACTGCTTCCCACCTGACCTAGCCTGGTTAGTGCAAGATGGACTATCACTGCATTACGCTGAGTAAAACCTTCATTGCTGCTTCCTTTCACACTTAATCAATAGTCTTATTGGAACCAAAAACAGTAGAAGAAATTTTTATTCTCTTTGGTTTAACTCTGCTGTCTCTAAAGTGGGATTTCTCATAACATCTTCTGACTCCTTGTCCTAGATAGATATGAGCACTGACCCAAACAATTACTGGCTAATTTTTAACACATTGTGATGTCAGTTTTAGGGCAAATGAAACAAAAAATAATGCATACATAAAACATTTCTGTTTCTTTAAACAGATCTGGAATGTAAGTTATTTCTGTTAACCATTCTGAAATGTGTCTCTGAAATTTACCTTGAGGGGGAGTGTAAAGTCTACTTCTTTGGTTTCCTTCAGGCCAAGAGGTACCAAAGGAATGCTGAAAGTTTCTCTATGGGGAAAAAAAAACAAACAAACAAACGCAGAAAGATTCAGTAATATTTGTTTTCTGTTTGTTGATAATCACTTTGTTTTATTTGATGACAGAAAGTTAGTATGCTGATGGGTGTTCAGGACAAAGGCACATAGTTTATAACAGTTCCTTCCTGCCCAAGAAAGTCTACTTAATGGCCTGTGACTCCTCAAGAAGAGAGTGAGGAAAGCTACTTACCTGTGCTTTTTTTTTTTTTTTTTTTCATTTGAGCCTATTTTCCCTTCAAGGAAAGAAAAGGAAACTCTCAAAGGCTGGCTTACTGCAATTCAGCTCAACCTTTATACACCTGCACAGGCTATATGGACAGAACACAGCTCCACAGCTGCTAGGAGATCTGCCTCGGTAAGAGCTCTGGTAATTATCAATAGCTATCATCAGTATTTTACATGCTCCCAATGACTTCCTGTGTAGAAGTGATGTGTGTCTAACGCAGGGAAAAGCAGGGCCAAAGTATCGCAACTTTAACAATGAAAGGTCTAAGAGTAGGAAGTCTGAGGGCTAGGTAGGACAATACCAGGCATTAACCTCTAAACAAACCAACCTCTAACATATCAAAGGGCAATAAAGATGAGAACTGTGACTTAAAAAAGGATCTCATCCTTGACAGAATACATGCCTGTATCACAGACTTAGACCCGGGTGATACTGGTAAACAACATTAGCTAATAAGACTATTACAAATTAAAGAGCACCATTTATCCCTCCAAAACTACATATGTTGCTCTCCCACTAAGCATATTACCCAATTATAAAAAAGAAAGATCAGAATTGCTTCCAGACACATAATTTCTTGACTATGTTTAACAGATCGGTATCAGGCAATTACAAGGTTTATCTGGTATTTTCCTTTTTCCTGAAAACAAGTGATTGACTGTCTAATCATTGTTTAGAACGTTCCATTACCAACTACAAAATCCCACAGGTGTGATTCATTTGTGCTTTATCAGCAAAGCCAGCAAAATCACTTTCTTACTGGTGAAAATTCCATTTCAGGGAGGTGGGAGGAGGAGTACAGCTTCCTCAGCAGAGGAAGAGTCCTTTAACTGGTTGGCATGATCCAGAAAGTGGCTCTGCTGGCTTGAAAAGGACTTCCAGGATACAGAGCCAAAACACCACTGCAGGTAGTGCAAATGATCTGATTTCTGAGGACGCTTTTAGAAGAAACCACAACACTTTTGCAACAGATTATATCAAGACTTTTTTCCCCAAAGGAAGTGAGACACACGGAAAAGAAATCATGACTTACTGATTTAATGAATTCTAGTACCACCCACAGTCCCTGCAGACACCAGCATTTGTCATTCAAGGGAACTGAATTTCTATTTTCCAAGTTTCTAAGGTGCCACACCCATGGACTCTACATCATGGGGGCATTGAACAGTTAGGGAGGTGATCCTGGATTTCCAGAACTGAGCAGAAATAGTGTCATGTTTCTCAACCCAGCTGAGATGTGTGCAAGTACTGGAAGGCCAACCCTTCAGTGTAACACAATCCAGTCTAACCCAGAAATGTGGATGTGACCGCATGTTGATGACTATATGCACAATGGATTCAGAGAGCAACTATTAACAGCTATTTGCTATTAAAGGCTGGACAGCAGTTACAGAGGGAGCAAGTTATTTTAGCTGGTGGAACACAAAAAGCATTCAGATCTTAGAATGAACACCATCAGAAAGGTAAAACGCCATTCAAACCAGACTGGGGAAGTAGGATCAGGAGAAAATGAAATGCATACTGTCCAGCCGCAAGGCTTCCACCTGCCTTGGGGCCTGACCTTCTGCTCACCTTTCACTGAGAATCCAAATATTTCTAGTATTTTTTTAGCTATAAGAAGGAATAGTACTTCTGGAGTCTTGCCCTCATTCCCACAGCCATAAGTTTCATACTGCTGTCTATGCTCACATGCATCTATGAAGACTGGTAAAATCTTGCAGGAAAAACATTTTCACATCAAACAGTTGTCAAAGTTTGAGATAGGAGCGAAGGTCAGGAAATTTAGCAAAAGTTTCTCTTTGAGAAAAATGAAATGTAGGTATTTTGCATTAGGTCAGCATTCAGTTGAAAGATACCCCACTGGAAATGTGCTTAGTCCCTCTATTTTAAGAATACCTTGTAGTCCACCTGGAAGTTAACAGCTAACTGAGAATAGTGCTAAGAGGGACCTAAAATTATACTGCCCCTCATATGAAGTACTTCAATTTGTGTCTTGAGCTGCTAATGTTAATCAAATAGTAAACATTTAGTTTTAGGAGCAGAGACATCTAACTGATACAGAAATCATTGCGGTATTCAGGCAATGAACAATCTTTAACTTTGAAGTTTTATCCTTGAGGAATCCATTGCAATTTGAAGTTTAGTGTGCTTTTTAAAGTTGGAAAAATATCTTGGAACAATTCCAACTTCATCTACTAAGAATGTCTCTGTTTTAGCCAGCTAATTTATGGATTTCTATCACTGAAGTGCACACCTTAAAGATTACCTCGTCTGCTCTGAGCTCCAAATTAGTGTTGGGCTTCTATTCTCCAGCTAAAGAGAGGACCGTTGTACGCACTGCATTTGCGAACAGATATTATATCACAAGGTTTGTTCACTCCAGGATGCAGTGAATCAATTAGCCGTTCTAGTACTAGAAATTCTGCTAGGTGCCATGTGGCTCCCCATAAAGCCCCAAGAGCTTTCAGCTCTCGCAATACTCTCCTCCACGAAGAAACTCTGTATCTCAGGATTAGTGGTACATACCTTTCCCAAGTGAAAGACAAACATGCAGACTAACCCTTAGTCAACAAATCTACCATCAAATATGTTCCCTTCCTATCAAGCTCTCTGTTCTTTCACATTATTATTGTCTCCAGCATTCACATTCACCTAGAAACAAATTTATTTCCAAAAATTGTGGTAAACAAAAGATCTGTTAATAACTGAGTAACTTAGCTTTATACTTACTCTGTATTTTGATAAACTTCTACTGAGATATTAAGTCCTTCCAATTCTTCCTTTAAGATCTGCAGGTCTGAGTTGACAAAACTAAGTTCCAGTAGTACCTGCTCTCTTACTTTGTTGTTGTTGGTTGCTCTGCAGAAAGAAAGAAACATGCAATTTTTTTATTGCTGAGGAAAAGGTTTTGTACATAAGCTTGGTTGACCCCCTTGCTAGCATTCTCAGCATTTTTAAGATATTTTTTTTTTTCTCTCCTTAAGAGATGATACAAGACCTCATGTTGCAGAATTTATTAGGTTTTTCTGAGAAGAGAGAGCCTGGGATAGCTTCCAGGTAACGGCACGCAGACACATAGAAGGTTTGCTATGTGCTACTTTTTTTGTGCGATTAAGGGTCAGGCTTATTTTCAGATACATTAATCAATAAAACTAAAGCATCTTAAACAGAATCAGTATCCTATTCTCGGATTATGTGACCTTTTCCTAGAAGAGGTGGGGGGGGTCAGGAGATGTTTTTTCAAAAGAGACTCCCCCACTTTGTAAGTTGGATAACAATCTGTTGAGACTTCTGATCTTAAGAATAAAAGAAAACAACTTTCCCATAAAACCGTTACTACAGAATGTTTTACAACCAAATATACACGTAGAAAGATATTTCTTTTTAATACAATTGTCTCTAAAATGTTATTTTGTCAGATGCAAATAGGTTTTTTTTGTTTGCTTGTTTCCTTTGCCATTTATATATTTACATGTCATTTTGAACTGCTAGCACAGTGGATGTTAGTTTTTAGCCCCCCAAACATTTCTGTGTGATTTCTTGTTTGTGTATTTTGAAATATTGTATCACTATTTCTAACCTGATTCTCTGTACAGTATTACTGTTTTCAAGAGACTTAAACTGGTATCTATAACCACAGGTATGAGTTTAAGAAAAAAGGTCTTGATCCATATCCAGGCTTACGATATTGTACTCCTGTATAAGACGGTCCAAATCATTAGATAATAACAAACTTGTTTTAAGTTTGCAGCATTTTGCATTTACCTTTACTGTAAAGTAAGATTCACCCTCATGAATATTTAACAACCCTCTCATACATCTAGCCTCCCCTTGGAACAATCCTTCAGTTTTAGGGAGCAGCCTGGTGAAGAATTAGTTATTCCAAGGCTAAAACTCTAAGCTTGTACTTCATATTATAAATAAGCATTACCTGTACATTTTCTATGCTGTACTTTATTGAATACCTCAGATTGCATTGCTTAATCTAAGCAAACATCTGCTGCCTGCATAAGCCAAACTGGACACAAATACAGGGTGGAGTGGATCTTCCTTGGTAAAGGCAGCACCATATAGATAACGGTGTGAGCTTTGATGCTAGCAGCAATTTAATTACGCTCCACATTTGGTCTGCTTACCATCCTCCACAGAAGGGATTCTAATATCTTTCTCAGAAACCCCAGTGGTCCATCTAGGTGAACTTCTCTAGTACGGCTATATTGCTCTCAACATCCGTGCCAATTTAGAGTTAATTTGGTTACCTTTTCATGCTGTTGCACTGTAGACACGCTTTGCAATGACAAACAGCAAAAGACAGCAACAGGGGAAACGTGATATCCTTGAGATCCACATAACTCTACTCTGAATTCAGTTTTAACTCAGAACTTCCAGAACAAAAGACAATGAAAAGGAGACGGTGACTTTCAGAAGTTCTAAAAACAAAAGTCTTTGCGCTCTATGGATCATTTGTTTCAGCCTAGTGTTTACTTTCAGCCAAAAGTAAAGAAACCCACATTTCTATTTTTTTCTCAAGTCTTATTGCAGGAGGCTCCTTGTAGACTGCAATTGATTTGGTTCTTCTAGAACCTGATGAAATGCAATAGAATCTGAAAACATAAAGCTCTGTAAGAGAGACTGTAAATACGTCTAGTTGTGTGAACTATCTAGTGGTCAGGTTACTTTTAAAATTGCTTCTTTTAAAGAATTAGCAAGTTTTAAGTATAATAGGTGTAAATTTATTTTAGATTTTCAATAACTCTGAAATAAGTCTGATCCTTTACTCTTCAGATAACCTTAATTCCCACTCTTGTCAACAGCAACTTCAGTACTTCGGCAGACTTCGTATCAGGAGACGAACTTTAGGATATCTTTAGGTTGAATGTTAGAGTAACCAGTGTTTACATTAGATATTACTGGTCTCTTTAGCCTTTCCAAAACACTCCTGATTTGGCATGCAGAAACATCTGCTGAATTAACAGTGTTCAGTTTCAAAAGCAGATATAAGGGTTTTGCTATGCATACAAAAGGTAGCAAAAGGCCCTAAGTCTTAGTCCTTAAGTCATTTACCAGAAAACAAAGCAAAATTAAGTCAGTCACAGAGACTAAAACTACATAAGCTTTGGTATCACCTCTCTTGGCAAGAGTGGAGATAAAGGCAAGTGACAGGCAAAGGGCAAACTATCAATTAATGCCAAGTTCAAAAAAAATTTATTTATCCAAGCATTTTCACTTCTCTAAGGGAAGGATATTGACTATTTTGTTCTCATAGCCCCATTGTTCCTCCAGTTGCAGAGAAACAGACACTATAGGAGATTACTGCAGATTCGTGTTGGGGAAATTTTCAGTTCTGTGGATGTGATGGATTGTAGGAAAGCTACAGGACTGATTGCTAAGCAGGTTATCACAGGAAGTAGTAGTAGCCTCAAGACAGGGTCAACACTAGGCTGTTCCTATGGGGACAGCCACATAAGAAACTGTGTCTTAAAAAAGATTTGGTGGACAAAATATAACAGATAAAGGGCAAAGTCTCTTCCAGTTACCTCAAGCTGCAGGAGAATTTGGTGGCAACTGTAACCCAGCTCAAATTAGATGTGTGCTACCCTGCTACTCCTGTATCACTACTACATGGAATAAATAAGGCAACTGGTGGTCCTTTCCACTGTGGAGCACAGATCTAAAGGATCTTGGAAAAAGCAACAGCACATTGACTATTTGATTATTTGATTATTATTTGATTTAACATGTAAAAAGGACTATTACAATATTCAGCAAGGTTCACTTGCCAATATCACTAGCAATAAAGCTGATCAAACAGAGCAACATAAGACAGTCTAACATTCAGCTCGTTTCCTACATCACAGCAGCTTGGAAAGTGCACTTTATAGCAGGTAATAACTCTATAGAGCTAAAACATAAAAAAAAAAAAAACCTCCAGGGAGATTCACAAAGCATCCAGCTGTAGTTTATGCAGCATGTTAGGGGAGTGGTTAGGCAGAATAGGAAAAAGCAATAGCTAAGAGACTTTTTAAAAAAATAAAAATATGTAATTTTGTTGCTCAGGCAAGAGAAGTAGGAAGTCACAATACATACCTTAAAAGATTTTCAGCACCAGCTCTCATTCTTACTGCTCTTAAGATCTGTTGGTTTAGGACAGCTCTTTGATTTTGCAGTTTGCTTCGGCCAGTCTCAGCAAGTGGATTACATCCCTAGAATTAAGGAAATGAGTAAAGCATGAATTTACACAAGCACAAGACTCAAACTACTGCAATCTGTGTTTGATTTGGTGAGCACTGATAAGCGAAAACTGTTATAGATGAACAGGACTGTGTGGAGGTTCAGTTCTTATTTGGGTTGGCAAGTGAAAGCAAATTGACAATAGAGAAATGAGCCAATCAATCCCGATTACAGTAGTCCAACTGAGAGACCAGATAGCCTAATATCGTTAATTTCAAATCTCTAGTTTGAAAAGTTTGTAATAAATAGGTAAAGTGACAGGAAGCTTGTGCAAACATCTTCAGAAGCACCATTTGCCAGATAAGTTGAAAAAACGTCACATTAAATTGCTCTTATTGCAGAAGTGTTTCTGCATTGAAATACCAATTACAGCTGAAACCCAAAACTTGGGTGCTCAGTATATACTCTCTTTGTTGAGAGAGCACCATCAGCAAGCACAATACATAGAAGCTGCACTTCTTACTGGAGAGGACATGCACATGTAGCAAACTCATTCACTGATCTCAGATTAAAATCCAAATACTTTATGCTCCTTTACACACATTTATACACAGAGACATAAGCAAGGCACATTTAAAGGTACAACATGGTCTTGTTGCTTTCTGCTTTTAGCCTGTTTCTTTTTCTGGGCTGCCACTGCTTTTCCTACTTTGCTTTTTCTTCACTCTGTGTTGTACAATTCTCTACTACTGATATTCAAAGTCGTCTTCCATTCTATCCATGCCACTTTTCATTTGAACCTTGCCAATTATTTCTTTTTGCATTGTTTGAATACTTGATTCTCACCTTGGGCCTTTCATCTCTATATCCCTGTATAGGTCTGTGATGCTTTCTTCCAACTCCCTTCTCGACCACATAGTCCAAGCATCCTTCCCAAATGTATCCTCGCCTTGCCCTTGTTTCGTTTTCTCTGTAAAGCTGCAGCTTCTTTGCAGAACTCCCTGCCCTTCCTCTGTGCCAAACAAGCGTCATGACATCATTCAAATAATTCTTTACAGCTCTACGTCTGGGAAATTTTTCAGGAAGATCAACTGCCTGATTCCCAAGCCAATGAAGCTCAGTCGAAGTGGTGTGTTTATTTCAGTAGACCTTTGATCAAGCTCCAGCCTAGAAATCAAACAAGCTCCCATTAAATGATGAGTGCAAAACTGCAATCATCTGAAACTCCGTGCAAAGAGGAAAAAATGGCAAAAATACTTCCCTGCATTTCAGGACCAGCCACTAATCTGCGTATGAAGCTTTAATGCCACAACAGCCCTCGGGCCAAAGAGGAGAAGGCACTGACAGATTGAGGTATCCGTATCACCTCTGGCGTCCCTGGAAGTGCTGCACTTTTGTCTCCTTGATGAAAGGCTTCTTGTGGATAGAGGAGTCTGTTTTCAGGACAGGCTCACCTGCTGCAAGCATATATCTCCCATTTACTCCTCTAGGCCAACAAGAAACTTGTATTTTACCTTTTGGAAAACATTGCTTTTTACATCTGCTGCACAGGGGATGGGGCCACTCAGTTTGTGTACATTTGCAGGCTTAAACTCTTTATTGTAATCAGGCTGCCAGAAAACTGGTGGATAGAAGTCTTCATGGAGGACAGTGAAAATAACTAATGTCTGCAAAAAACTCATGGGAAATACACAATCTGGGGAAGATTCCCCCTTGCGTAAAGCACAAATTCCATGTACTAAAGCGTTATTTAGCAGACAGGTCCAAGAAAGTGCTTGATTTTGTTTCCCCCCATGCAGAAGATCCCTTTCCCAGCCAGCACTTGTACTTGGTTCACATCTGGACAATCCCAAGAATGTTAATGTTCAGTTCATTACAATATCTGGCAGCCAAACTTCCCAGCAGTTTCCACACCTACTATTTCATTTCTTGTCAACAGGAAGCTAGATGCTTCATTTAATTACTGTTTATTTCTTTGCCGAGCCACGACAATTTGGATAGTGAACTGGATTTTACCCTGGCTTATACACTATCAGTAAAATTATTAATTAAATAGCAACAATGGTTATTACTAAGGAAGTTGCAAAAATAACCAAGAATGGGGTATGATTTAAGCTTTCATTGCATGCATTTGGGGGAGGAGGGAAAAAGAGACAAGTAAATTGAGTAACTCTGCTGTGAAGACAATTCAAACAGTAAACTCAGCTATCAGTTTTAGAGCCTTCTTTCCCCCTCAGAGCATAGCTGCACTTCATAAAGAAGTGTTTAAAGTCCTCAAATATTATTATACTTTGCTCCTGAAACAATAAAAGCTTTGTAAAACCTGAAGTTCAGTTAGCTAGTTACTTTATTTCTTCCTGCTTGGTTGAATAGCATTGTTGAACTGCAGACTCCGGAAGCTGATGTGTTTTTAATACATCATTATCAGAGGCAAGACCTGCATAAGAGTTAGAGATTCTTGCCATACGTTATTTATGTACCTAGTCAGGTAACATCTTGAAAGAAACAGACACCAATATTTTCCCCCTCTCTGCTGCACTCTGGGGAGACCCCCCTGCAGTGCTGCTTCCAGCTCGGGGGCCTCAGCACAGGAGAGACATGGACCTGTTGGAGCGGGGCCAGAGGAGGCCACCGAGATGCTGGGAGGGCTGGAGCCCCTCTGCTGGGAGGACAGGCTGGGAGAGTTGGGGGGTTCAGCCTGGAGAAGAGAAGGGTCCGTGGAGACCTTAGAGCCCCTTCCAGTGCCTAAAGGGGCTCCAGGAGAGCTGGGGAGGGACTCCTGATCAGGGAGGGGAGACACAGAATGAGGGGGAACGGTTTTACACCAAAAGAGGGGAGATTTAGATGAGATATCAGGAAGAAATTCTTTCCTGTGAGGGCGATGAGCCCCTGGCGCAGGTTGCCCAGAGAAGCTGTGGCTGCCCCATCCCTGGAGGTGTTCAAGGCCAGGTTGGACAGGGCTTGGAGCAACCTGGGCTGGGGGGAGGTGTCCCTGCCCAGGGCAGGGGGTGGGACTGGGTGATCTTTAAGGTCCCTTCCAACCCAAACCATTCTGTGACTTTGGACAAATAAACATTCACCTCCCGATGAAGGCTGGCCGGTGCAGGGCCGGCATGTCTGACAGCAATCCCCTGACTGGCTGATGGGGCGCTGACAGACTCCAGTGGGATTGCTGCCCATCTCTTGTTGGAACCAACACCTGAGCTTAGGTGGCAGGATGTCCCACCGGGTTTCATTTTTAAGTTTATAGACATTATTCCCCCACACTGATCTGGCAAGCAGTTGTACTCTGAACGCCTGTGGGCCCTCAGCATGACGCTGTCTCTGTCAGACCAGGCACAGCCAGCTCAACCACAGGAGCTCGAGCAGGGCCAGGACACGGCTGGCTGACTGCTCAGGGCACGTCTGGGGTTTGGGAGATTTCATTCCATGGGTTACATGGGGGCAGAGAGGGCAGCTAGGCAAGCCTGCAGCCAGGCACTCCGGGTTGCCTACGGATGGTCAGTATCTTGCCTCTGTACAAGGCACCAGAGCTCACCTCCCGCCTGAAGGAGCCTTTGAATCCCCCAGTCTGAGGGGCACAGGCAGCATCTTTGTGGTTTTCCAAGTCTGGGCTCTAGGCCTTGAGAAACTGCCTACCACAGCGGGAAGAGAGCTGTCAGAAGGATGGGTCCCAAACAAAGCTGCAGTTGTATTTAATTTGGATGCCAGGAAATTCTTTCTTCAAGAAAGAAAAGAAGTATTCTTTTTAGTATCAGAAATGCAGTTGCAATGGACAAAAAATCACAACTGTTTGGCAATCAATGAGTAATCGCAGTAAGCATCTGAAAGAAACATAAGTATATTTTATCAAGTCGTGGTTTGAACTTTTATGATGAGCCACACACTGTCTGAAGGTGACACAGAGTTGAAACTGGGTGTGCCTTCTTACTGAAAATAAAACATTCCGTTCCAGCCAGCACGACCTGTGCTGCTTGTCAAGCCCAGTAGTGTAAGCAAATGGCCATATCCTCCAGATATTTAAACTTGTATGTAATTTAACTTATGCACATAAGTTCTTTGGCTGTAATAGCAATTGTAGTAAACAGCATGATTCACACCAGTATTTCTAGAAGTGATCCTAAGTCCTGCTAAATTATGATGTTTATTCCCTTACCTTCTTCCGCTACTATAATTAAAGTCTCTCTTTGCACATTTCTACCAGTTCTGTTCCAAAGTTTTAGCTATATACTGCGAGTCTTTCAATAGTTTCAGAGTTTTAGCTATATACTGCGAGTCTTTCAATAGTTTCAAAGTTTTAGCTATATACTGTGAGTCTTTCAATAGTAGAAGTTCTATCTGAGTTAAAAAAAAAAAAAAAAAAGCGGGGGGAGAGAGGAGGAAGATCTGGTCTTCCAGAGCCTAGTTTGCCTGTGCCATGAACAAACGTTTTACAGTTCTGAGTGCCTGGCTCCAAAGATTAATATAAAGTTTTAGAACTAATTATTGTATTAAATTCCAAATACGTATTTTCTATACAATATTCCATCTTGTTACACCGCTTACTAAGCAAAATGAAAATTAGTATTTCAGAGATGTCTGTCTCTTGACTACCCATGTTTCGATGACTCCTAGTTTCACATGAAGGCCTACTTTCGGTTTTAGCTTTTCTGAATTTGTATACAATGAGTGGATATGGCATGACGGGGGGCATGAATCATCGCAACATGGTTTCTGTCCCGCCAGACAAGTGGCAAGAGAACAAACAGGCAAATAAATATTCCTGTGTCAATGCCAATGTTGATGGTTGCCTGGCTACTAATGACTAAAAAGAACCACATGAGCTAAAAGCGGTGGAAGCACAGGTGTAGCAGGTTGGTAAACTGAGAGCTGGTAAACCACAGCTGGGGGGAAGCCCTGCAGAAGAAACCCCAAAAGTTAAGGAAGGGAAGGAGAGAGAGTTAATTAGGGAAGTGCTGATTCATGAGCTGGTCACCATACCTATCATCATTTTCAGCCCGGTGTTTCATTTATGGAACTGCTTGTTTTCTGTTTTTAGCCTTCTCCCCTGATGGGGAAGACTAATATATACTGACGCTCTTTCTAAATCATCAGCTTGGTCTGTGCAGCAAGTATCTAGCCTCACAGATGGAACCAAAGCTTTAAGAAAGGGAAGAGAAAAGAAAAGAAGCATCTTCATTAAACTGATCAGAATCTAAAGATTCATTAAGCTAGCTGTCCTACTGTGCCTCTGCCTAGCACAATGGGCTGCCATTCAAAACAACCAAACTGAAGATGGGATGCTTAGTGAGCTACAGAAAGGGTAAGCTTAGAATACGAACTATAGCTTTTTCTTATAATTTATTGCAGCTTCCTGACTGATTAGGGAATTTGAAAAGTTACACTCTGTATAAGGTGTTACAAAGCAGTGAATCAAGATGGGAAAGATACAGTAGAAAGAACTCACTAGCTATCTCTTCCTTGCTCTGGTCCTACCACCCAAAAAACCCCAAACAACCAAATCCCCAAAAACCACCGGGGTAGGCATAGCCCTACTAATAGATCGCCATGCAAGCATTGGTTCCACTCACTGGATGAGCACTACTTTATAAATATCCTGAGTTCTGTATATTGATGTGTTTTAAGGATATTTACTTTGTGAAAACTTACTGGTTTACTGGGGTGGCGTGCTGTCACAAAAAAGAAAAAGGGAGAATGGCTTGAAAAAGAGAGTTGTTTCTCCCACAAGAACTCAAAAGTAACTAAAAAATCAGGAAGAGGTCTGAGAGGCCAAGCAATCCACAGAGCCGTGGCAGGCTTAAAGAATAACTTCCCCAGAGGTGAGAGAGGCATCTTGCGTAAGCAAAGCAGCACATAAGGACAGACCTGCTTTAATTACCATCGACCTGTTGAAAAACCCTTCCTGTCTAAATGCCTTGTTCTACTTTTAAAACAAATTGTTCTTAGCTCTTATCATTAGTTTTGTCATTATCTTCTGCTGACCACAGGCCCTTTCATAGGGAAAAATGACCGGGGGCAGAATTTGGATGGAT